AACCACTTTTCCCGCATTCTAGAACGTTTCCAAGCAGAGGTGCATTCATTCTTGAAAAGTGGCTTTCGTCTCAACGCACACCCCGCCCATTGTGGGCGGGCTTCGCTAAGCTTACGCATGCCCAGCACGTATAATGCCCTGCTCACTCTTTTTATCCTTTTTCCTGGCCTCTGCGCCTTAATTGAATCGAGTTATGAATACATCTAAAAAGTACCGCCCATTTTGAGAAAGCTCCGCTCCGTGGGTCTGCTCGGTCTGGTTTGTTGACCCAATCCTCACCTTTGAACATTTTTTCCCGGTGTCTGGACTTTTCCGAAGCAAAAATAAGACGTTTGGTTGATGGCACAGCCCACTCGGGCACTTGCCCCGCCACTCGTAGGCGTGGATCCGCAGAGCTCAGATGTGCTATGTTAATCTTGCCTCAGGCTCCACCTATCCCGAACTTGTCCATCTCTCCAGGCCCTTCTTCAGGTGATACCGAATTTTGTGAAGGACAAACAAACAAACAGACAAACAGACACACCAAACTTGTGGTTTATATATAGTAAGGATTTCTCTTTTCGACAACGCAATTCTTCCAGGCTGCGACTCATAGAAGCGATTCAATACAACCATTTTGAATTTTCTCATCTCGCCAGGTCACGTATCATGTAATTTAGAATCCTTTCCTCTTTCCTGTCTGACAAAGGATGGATACTTGGTCGTAGTGAGTGGCCATTCAAGATGAGATGAATAAAGCTTTAGGTGGTTCCAAACGCCGGTCTCAAATCCGTTCCAAATCTGCTAAACGATTCTGGCGACAAAGTTACATGACTAATGCCTTCCTGCGTTACACCTTGGTACCGAACATATCACCGAACCAAGCAAAGCCGTAGTTTGCAACGGTGGCTCGACTAGTAGGATGGTGGACAGGTGGGCACGACATCAAGTTTGATTCCATGATTTACACGCTCGTTTTGCTTTTCCAAGAAATGCGTCCCAAACGCTTGCAAAGCGTTTTGGGGCCCAATTGTGGGCATCTACGGAGCTTTCACACAATTTATGGTTCCCGTAATAAGTGACCCAATAAAAAGATTTCTACTACTACTAACCGAATAGATACCCCTTTCCATCCCGAACAGTCAAGATGGTGTTTCGAAAATTCTCGGCAGCCAGCACCCTGCACTTACGAGGAGGTGGTCGAATGACTTGATCTGACAGAGACCTCTGGAAGAGATACGGTCCACACACTCTAGGAATACTATCCGCACTTTCGAAGCAGTGGTAGTTACTAGCATTATTGAAGAAATACCGTGGGACAATAGTTTATCGATATGATACCACGGCTGTACTCGATTCATGATACCACGGCTGAGCTCGAAGCATTGAGTCCACCTAAGACTTGCTTTCAGTTGTCTCCAATGGGCCTTCATTGTTGAGTTGAAGCAGCATCCAGTGGGAATGACTATCATTGGATTCCCATATTAATTTTACGGTAACTTCTCCTTCCAACTTGTTCGCAAATCTCCATGAGTAGATAGATCGCTCCGCTTGTTCTGCACCTGATAGTTGCAAGCACATGAGACGTCGCAAGTTGTCGATCATAGACTAATTCGAAAATTTATGACTGCTCCCACTTACCTTCCGTAGATGGCACTCTACCGTGATGATGGAAGGCTATGGATTGTTTAACCACCGCTCATAGGCCTGATCACAGAGTTGAAGGCTACGTTTCATTTTGGAACCTTTCCTTACCCACAAACATAAGAGGTTCCTATCGCGAAGTTATGGGTCCATCGCCACTGTCATCATCAGCCGACGCACAGGATCATTATGATTGTCTTTCGCGGACTCGACTTCCTCATGGATATCGAGCTTGTTTTCGTAGCATCGAAATGTATGGTTGGAAGGCTTTTAATCACCTCCCGTCCTCTCCTAGATGACGCTCAATTTGTGTCACCACCTTTGGCCAGAATATTTGTAACGTGTTGGAGAGCGTTTGATCCGATGAATCACTTGGAACCACTGTCCTTAAAGCTTCTGAAGCCCATTATAAGCGATTGCTTAGAATACCTCCTTTGCTTGTATGGAACAATTCCACACACATTCCTTGTAATACCTTTTCAGTATTCCTAAAATGTGAGTGAATTCGGTAGATGGTCAATATTAGGCCCAAATACATTTTGAAAGTTTTTAGGACGCATTTAATGGAAAAGAAAATCGAGTGGTTTGAAGGAGTCGAACCCTTATGTCATGCCTGCCTGTCCACCACTCTACTAGCCATGCTATCGTTGTACAGCTACGGCTTTACTCGGCTCGTTGATCTGCTCGGTACAGAGGAACAACACAGGGAGGCATTGGCCACGTAACTTTGTTCTCAGAATCGTTTAGCGGAATTGGAGACCCTGTTTGAGATAGCGTTCGAAACCATCCAAGGCTTTCCACAGCTCATCTTGAATGACCACTGCGACCAAGTATCCTTCCCTTGTGAGAGACTAAATCATCCTGCGTTCCAAGATCACTAAACCATTTTAATTTGCCTTCGCTGTCTGATACTGATATCATCTAGTTACTTTACGAATCATATTCATTAACCAGGTAATAATGAGGCACCATTTAGGATAGAATCATTCTTTATAGGCTCCTCAACACCTTCATTGATTTCTGAAAATGTTCTTGGCTGTGGGAGAGAGAGAGAGNGGGGGGGGGGGGGGGGGGGGTGAGAGAACTGCCCTTCCCCAATCCTGAAAGCTAAATCGAAGAAAAGAACAGGTTTGCGATTCTGCAAGCCCAGTGATGCTGCGAGTGAGTCAAGTGAACTTTCAATTCATACCTGATCCCAGCTTTTAGTACTAAATCTGCGCATCCACCTCATCTCTTTCTCTACTGAAGCTTAGGTAAAAACTACACTGTGCTGAATAATGATACAGCCACCTATAAATTCCGCCAAAGATTGTGATCTAGGGCTTTTTAGGAAAAGACTCGACATGGAAAGTGCGCCCTATACACACCGTAACTTTTGGACCATTGGCAATTTCCATCTCGAGAACATGGACAACTTTCCCCTTCAATTTTTTCCAAAAAAGGTCACATTACATATGTTTCAAAATGACACAGCCATTTCATTTTCGGGTCACGTTACATTTTTACCTTGCACAAAAGCTTCAGTTCTTACGTTTCCGGTAAAGGAAATATGCTAATCGACTTCAGAAAGAACAAATCTCGCAAATAGGAATAGGGACCGTCAAATCTTGAAATCACTCGAGATTTGACCTGATGCCCGTAGATGTCATCAAAGTCACCAGGAATCCTGCAGAGTATGGGACGAAAAGAAGCACGACAGACCCCATTACTTTTGGAAAGAGGCAAGCGACAGATTTCGAAAGAAGCGTTGAGTATGACTAAGCCAGGTACGGGAATCAAATCCTCTTTGAAGCTCAATGCCTCGAAGTTTACCATTTGCAGCGTGATAAATAAGTCTCAGTTTGTCGCTGGGCGGGAAATGACGATAGCACCCCTTATGGCCGGCAAGAATCGCGATAACCGCATCGGTTCTGCCAAGAACTGCATCCGAAACGTATAGACTAAGGTGCCTTTCAAGTTTGATCGTTTACTCTTCCTTCTCTTGATGTTTCGGTGTTTTGCAAGCGGAAAAAGTTCCACTGTAATGGCCCAGATGCCAACCGGTTCCACTTCCACGATCTGAGAAAGGATACGCTCCAGTTTTCCACACGAAATTTCAAGAGGGGAGAAGTCGGGAGGTATGGGCGACAATTTCTGCCAGTATGTGTTAAAAAGTTGAAAGAAACTTTGCCCCTAGAAATATCCCAAAATATATCCGTGTCAGGATCACTTTAAGAAGCCGCGAATCGTAAATTTGTTGAGCGCGACAGCACTCCGTGGCCCATATTTCTAGATTGAAAATGTACTTAAAAAATGAATTACTCCAGTTTCTTCAATTACAATTTTTGATACACAGGTTTTGCTCACTCTAATTCTTCGCAATGCAGCCGTCACAAGTGAAGTAATAAAAGTAGCTAATGCACCTTTCTCCGCGTATTACAGAATAAAACCGCTTGGGTGATAGTGAGTGTGTCATAGAGGTCCACTAGCGTGTCGAATTTCCACTCCTCACAGTCGACAGCAACAAAGAACTGAAATTGAGGGCATCATCGCAGCAGTCAACTTATTGTGAACGCAATGTTTTCTTTGCTATGACTAAAAATAATTTGTCAAAAAAAAAAAAGAGAAAAGATTGAAAAAAGACAAACCTGCTTAATTCCTTCCAGTGTCAACTCATCACGTTTTACGAGGATCCTGATGGGATCAGTCATGAATTTACTGGTCATTTCGAGAATCTCATGAGGTAGTGTGGCAGACAGCAAAACGACCTACATGTCATTTACTGAATAATCGCCAAAAGAAAAGCTTTCCTTGAAATATAATAAATGTACCTGGGCTCCAGGAGGAAGATATCTATATATATCATAAAGCTGCTCCTTGAATCCTTTGTTGAGCATCTCGTCAGCCTCGTCGAGAACTAACAGTTTGATAGACCGGGTACGGAGGTTCCGACGACGGATCATATCGAACACACGACCGGGAGTACCAGAGACCTAAATGAAACGCGACTATAATCAACGGACGAAATGAAACCTTTTCCGTGGATTTTTAAACCTCATGTTTTTCGAAAAACTAGAGCAAATTCAAAATCTTTTATAGAGAAATCCTCACAACATGTTGCCCATAGTCGAGTTTGCGAATGTCTTCTCCAATGTTCGTACCCCCAATGCATGCATGACATTGCACGTTCATGTAGTCTCCAAGAGCCAGAACAACCTGTAAATTGAAGACTAGACTACGACAAGTAAACGTGTGTGTGTGTTGTGTGTTGTGGTTGTGTGTTGTGTGTTGTGTGTTGTGTGTTGTGTGTTGTGTGTTGTGTTGTGTTGTGTGTGTGTGTGTGTGTGTGTGTGTGTGTATGTATGTATGTATGTATGTATGAAAACAGAAATTCATAATTCCTGTTTCCTTGAACCTAGAGCGATCAAACTTGTTAGGAGTACAGGCGGCACGATGAAACACATGCTGGGCGGCGAATCGAACTCCGCCCACAGTGGGCCAGTTGGGCGGGGGGGGGATGGTTGAGCCTGTTCCCGTAGACTTAGAATTAGAATTAAATCGCTAAGACGGCATAATCTATGTGAATACCGTCTCTCATGTGACATTTGATGTTAGCTGAAGATCATAGATGCTTTGGGGCGAATATATTATTGACTAAATCAAATCAAAGTTTAATTAAAATGATGGGCTCAGACATGTATCTGCGCACTTCAAAAATTAGACACAGGTTTAATAGATCAAGCTGTAACAAACAAAGCACTAAAATTCAATTTGATTAGCGGAGCTCACCTTTTGAATCTGCACAGCCAATTCACGCGTCGGGGATAGAATCAAAGCCTGACATTCCCTTAAGTCCGTATCGATCGACTGAAGCACCGAAATCGAGAATGTTGCAGTCTTTCCGGTACCTTAAATAAAACACTACCTACTTCACTACGACACGGCGTAAAAAGCACTCACCAGACTGAGCTTGGGCAATTACATCACGACCTTTCATTATAGGTTTTATGGCACGCTGTTGGATTGCCGACGGCTTTTCAAAACCGTATGAATAGATGCCACGAAGTAGGGGCTCCCTATATAGCCTCGAATTTGAACTGATCAAACTTGCTCTAATACAATAACCTAAAAAAACAGCTCCCACCAAAGCTCACAAACCTGCCCCGATCCACTGGCGTAGTGATAAATGAAAAGATCTAATTCGAAAAGATTCTGAAAGGCCGCACCTCAATCCCATAGCATCAAATGTTGGGATGACTTCAACCTCTTCGGAACTTTCAAATTCGACCCCAGAAAGATCTTCCGCCGTCGTCTCGATGTTTCGTCTCTTCTTGCCTGACATTGTTTTGAACTATCCCAGTTACTAAAATTAGTAATTCAGGATAAATAACACAACAAATACGAAAATGGTGGCGAAATCAGTACGACAGGGTATCAACCCAACAGATACTAATGTACTGCGTACCAAAGCATCAAGCCAAAAAATGCGAAATTCATACAATAAATAAAATTTTACATATAATTGTTGGTAGCACAATTGCATAAGCAGGCGAATTATACAGAAACACATAAAAGTGTCACCGATACCCACGCAACTCTACATGACGATAAACTTCATATAATTTTCATGGGAGAGGAACGATGTCAGATAGGTAAATCACCTAACACGAATAAAAATATGAGTCACCTAGAACTTTGCCATGACCGGATCATAAACAACCGACGATTATAATGTGGGCTAACTCTGAGATTTGTAATTCATGACGTCAACGGCTGTACAATCCCGAACCACTGTCATGAAGGGAACTCGCAGAAAAATATGAAGAAAGCGACTAAATGTGAAGGACACGGAGCTAAAAAGAATTACAATTGATGTAAATAAAACAGTACGAAAACAACGGGTAGTAGCGAGTACAAGGGAGGGTGGGGACATAACGGCTGACAAGGTCCGGAAATGTAGCTGTTTGTACTCCACGTCTTAGAATAATTTGCCGACAATTAAGCCAACCAAAAGAGCAGCGATGGCCAGGAGAATGACCTGAAAGCAATCTATAAACGGTGAAAATCAAACAAAAGAGCACCATTGACATAAAATATGGCTCGGTAAAGAACCAGGAGTGGATTGGATCGATATGGCATAGTTGCGTTCACTGCATGAATAATCCGTGAACAAACAGATTATAAATGCATGAACAAATAGACTACAGAATTCATACAGAAGTTAGAAAAAATATCTAGGGGCGTTATGAATATTAGAGAAAACTGTTGGTAATTGCAGAATTTCCTGACCGTCATTACATCATCTTGCTTCACTTAATAACAGCCTCGCTAAATTTCACAACTCTTGACTTGATTCAGAATCCGTTTGAATTTCACTAAGAATTATACTACTATTAAGCAAGCACTGTAGAGTGAATGTGGAGCAAGACTCCAGCAATTTAAGGATTATAGCTGACTTTTGGAAACGTTGACAAGAAAACGTTGTAAATGGATTTTGAAAAGACTATGCTTAAGACAATGGACTGTAACCGAAGACTTGAATAGGAAGGAAACAACGGTGAACGATGACGTGATTGACTACTATAGTGGAAGTTCGAATGGATATGGACAAGAGAATGAAATTGCAAAATAATGAGAGGATAGGCCCTCCTCACCTTACCACGCATACCCTATCTCAAATGGAAATGGAGTGCAATGTATCGGGAGAACGACTCAAAAAGCAATTTATTCCAAAAAACGTCTGTTAATCCTGAAGCTGTGAAAAGTTTCACGCCTCAAGTTGAACCAGCAAGTGAGGATTTCACAGGAAAACTGATACTTAACATCTGACAGTGAGAATGCCAAATGAAGGGTCACATGCCTGGCTCTGCAGCTGCATCATTCCCACTTGAAAATAATGGAGCGTGCAAGCAGCGAGTGACACTGTATTAAACTCACTGTACATATTTATCTCATTTTATGCCGTGAAACGGGAAAAATGGGCATAAACGTCAAAGAACAGTAGCAGGTTGAAGGGGTGGTAGTCCCATCACGACACTTAACAAGAGTCTCTGGAAGTACATCAGGGCGATGATTTTTACGTTGAACGCAAAATACTAGCATACGAGAATGATATTGGTGCTAAGAAGACATTGGAAGCCTTACATGCTCAGGAATGAAATCCAAAGCTTAAAGCCGCAAATGTCATAAACAAGTAATTTCTGCCGCTCAGAACTTTGAGATCACTGGGCCAGTGGTGTCTCATTTGTCTCTTGTTGTTTTATACGGGAAGAACGTTAATGACGATTGAGCTGTAAAATAGTGGGCACTTCATTAAGATCGACCGCGTTCCACATTTTGAGAGGGATTGCAATTGGTTTATTAGTGCGAATGGGCGTCCCAGCCCCTACGCCGCAGATCAGAGCTTCACACTACTTTTAAGTGAGCTTCAACTACTTTGAAAGCCTAAATGACAAATAATTCTCAAAAATGTCGACCAAATAAAGCGGTTTTACTAATCCAGTTTGGCACAGCAGAACAATTATGTTGCTAGGCATTATGTTGCTCAAAATAATATAACAGCTTATATGAAAGAAATCGTTCATTTTTTGATCTCAATAAGAACTGAGACAAACCCATAAACTAGATGTGATGGATATGTTCTGTGCAATGTCATCTTACACAGCATTGTGCGCGTTGTGAATTTTCATCACTTCAAAAAGTTGGTTATAAGGCTCCGCAAGTGAAACCCGTTTTAAAAATTCTTGAGTGTACCACTCTCTTCATTTACGCATCAAATGAAATGAGTGACAGTAACATGATTCATCACCTCTCCCATATTTAATACAAACCAGTCCCTTCTAATCCACTTCTATTCCTTATTTTTTTTTTTGGATTTCTTGCTCATTGTTGGAGGATCGTAGAATTGCAATCGGGTACCATGAACATGACACCGTAGATTATGAAAGCAGCACTAAATGTCTAATGTAGAAAATGAAAACAGCATTAGGTACCCATTTCACAAATATGTAGACATCTTTTGAAATCTAGGTCTTAATTTGCGAGGATAAAGCTACTCATTGTCAGTGACGCCTTCAGTGAATCCACCATTTTCCACTCTGAAATCGCTTATCCCAGGCTTACCGCGTTCTTTTACTTTCTTAGTAGTAAAAAAAANAAAAAAAACCGGTCAACCCTAGGCATTCCTCTAGGGGTAAAATGAATTAACATTTTTGATCGTATGATTCGAAAACCCATTCTTGCCTGCTAGAAACCATGCTTTCCGCACGACCGCAAATACTTGCACATGTTACTTGCCTTTGTTTGTGCGCTAGAGTCAGAGATGTCTGTGGTAGTTACACAGGCAAATTAACTCGTCAATAATCATCGACTGATCAATATCAGCACAGCAAAAACGCAACCCTAAACAAGCGACCTGATGTGGATTTACACTGAGTTGAATAATAATACAGCCACCCATGAATTCCACCAAAGCTCGCGTTCCAGGGCGAGAACGTGCCCTACTCACACTTTACTCGCCCATGAACAGCAAGTTTCACTTCAACGATACAGACAATCTCTCCCTTCACTCCTCCAGGAAAGTCACCCTCCTATTTTTTAAAATGATAAAGGCACTAACAAAATCGAATTATTCACCGGCTAAATGAAATTAAGAGAGGAAGTTGCGTGAATGATAATCAAATGGACCCCCATTCCTTCGAGTTACCTCAAAAACACGATTGCCTGAGCCAAAGTAAAGGCTACCAATGAGTTTATGGTCAACTTGGCAATTGATTTCTACACAATGTTTCTTCACGACAGCACAATGATGCCTTCAAATTCCTTTTATATCTTCACATCATGAAGTCCCACACATTTTTCATTGGATTCAAGTCAGGGCGTCCAGGAAAAAGCGTCGATCTGGTGCCGGCTAACCAAGCTTGGGCGATGTGAATCGGGGCATTATCCTGCATGAGTGCGAGATTCTGCTGCCGATTCTGACGCCAGAAAAGGAGAACAGCACGACACATCACGACTCGATAACCGGAAGAGTTGAACTTCTTCGGAACAAAACATTAATGAAGACGTAACAAAGAGAAGTTGTCGCCCATACCATAACTTCTTCTCCCTTGAAATTCCTTTAGGAAAACAGAAGCTTATCCTTGCCTATACTTTCTCAGATCGTGCCCGTGGAACCGGTTGTCATCTGGGCCATCAAGTTAAACTTTCTTCACCACATCTAGGCAACTGAGTTAAACTTCTTTCACTGAAATAAAACCCTGGGGAACGAGGCACAAAGAGAAGGAAGAGTAAATGACAAGGCATGAAAGGCATCTCACTCGAACCATTTAGGATGCATTTCCTGACAAAAGCGACCCTGTTATCGCGATGATTTTCGGTCGTAAAGGATGCCTTCGACATTTCCGCCCAACGAAAATCTCAGATCTGTTTACCACGTTTCAAATACTCCTCGTAATAAACCTCTAGACATTGAACTTCAGGTAGGACTTGGCTTCCGTACATGGACATTGCCGTATTCGATGCTGCTCTCCAAATCCCCACGTATTTTGGTGCGCGGCATTCGCGATTCTACTATAATAATTGACTGTCCCTATTCCTTTTTTGCGAGAAATTGACTTTTCTGAAATCAGATAGAAATTATAACTCATCCAATACCTGTAATTGGGGAACATTTCACGAATGAAGCAATTGTGTAAGATGGAAATGGAACGTGACGGGAAAATATGAGCTGGCTCTTAAGATGAATTTGCTGTTGATCTAGAAAATAGGGTCTGAATAGGGCACACTTCCCATATTTTCCTGAATTAGGTGCCCGTATCATCATTAACACGTTGACGACTAGCCAATTTTTTCGTGTCTGTCCCGTGGGACGACACAGTTTCTTTCTTGAAAATTTGTTATTTCTCGAAAAAATGAGTGATTACATCCAAAACCATTTCAAATCCGCAAACCTTCTAGCAGTATTAAAGTTTTGCCCAAGATTTGCGGCTACTCGGGATAATTTCAAAATTGGCGGTGATAAATTTGAATGGGGGTATATAAATAGGATCTCTGAGAGTATTATTTTCCTTGCGACCATTTTTGTCATCATGAGTGTCCCGAATATTGAAATGGAAGACTCAGCGAAATTTTTTGGCCAGTGGCTGTTCGACAGCGACGATGATGCTGCAGTGGTCTAGACGGCGACGATATGGCTCCTGCGGTTGATCCTGTCTTGTATATGTATTATTCATCTTGGAATTAACTTAATAGGTGGAAGGTGCTATTTTAGACACTTATAAGCCTAAATTGAAATTCTGCACAAAAAACGGAGCGAGCACACACACTTCAACCGAAGATTGCGCCGTCGCGCAGCACTGCGCGACATCGTCCCACGAGACAGACTGGCTGTCGCGCACTATTGCGCGACATTGTCGTCAACGTGTTAAAAGCAGCGCAAATATTAGTCAAATAGACCAGAACTCAATATAGGAATATATCGAGTAATTATGCCGATATTTTTGAGACGGAACTCCAAAAATGCCACCTTAATCGGCTGAAAATTTGCAAATCATTTGGCTGAATAGAGGCAAATGAATATCCAGTCAACTACACTCGAAATTACATTTCAATCGATTAAGAACGAAACGGGTTGACATTGGATTTCTTGTGTGCTTTGTTTCGTGTGGTTACACTCTTAAACCCTGTAAATGTGCGTGTCTTCAAAACCACCCTCATCCAAAGCTATAACAAACAAGAATTGCAAATTTGCAAATTCTGCAATCACTTTGCGACAATCCCACACTGCTTGGATCTGCTACGAGCTCACCCTCTAGATCCCAAAAAGGCGCTCTCCAAGACCTTAAGAAACACACCAGTTTCGAGAGAACCAGTTCTGATTTCAAATCACGCAATGAAAAAGTGCCACAGTCGCAGGAATCAGTGGTCGCACGATTTGCATGCTGCTGTCATCAAGAGACTTAGGTGTACTTAAAGATTAAAGTCAATCCTAGTTTCAGTTTTCTAAAAAATCGAAAACTAATAAGATAGCGCCGAAGAATCAATGTATGAAGATCACAGTGATTAGAGGACCCTTACAGTTATACGCAGAAAGAACGCACACCATAACAATGTCATGTAAGGGAAGATCCAAGAGGTCCGGAAGAGCAACATTGGACCTCCTTTTTATTGGAAGTATTCTTACGATATCCTGGCTTAAAAAACGATCTACTCGGATGACAGCGGACTACATAGACAAAGACGAGGCCCTTTCAGCTCTCGATTTAAACTTGGCTTTCTGTTCCAAAGTCAAAAAGATCACATCCGAGTCAACAGTTTTGAAACCCCTAGTTCCAATTTAGTAAAGCCGCAAAGTATCACCTGAATCGTTGGAGTCCCGCTTTCCATTGTTTGCATTCGCTGAAGTTTCGTATGTTTCTGAAAAAAAAGTAAATTGCTTCAGCCGTAAATCACACTCAATTGCCGTAGTACACCATGTGAACCTTTCACACGCAATCAACGTTCGAACTTTACAAGAAGAGTAACCCCTTGCTGATAGTTGATTTCTGTGCCGCTATGAAACTGAAGCCCTAGGTGTACGCTGCTACATGCGAACANAACAGAAGTCTTTCGTCATTCGTTGTGGGCACTTGCGGAATGAGAAGGCCAAGGCGGCAAAATTAACGTTCGTCACCTAACGTGGAATGATTCATCGCATATTATTTGAGTGCGGAACGATGTGCACAGCTAAAGAAACACAGACTTACACTGAACAGCTCGTCAAGTTCCTGCTGCATAGCGGCACGATCTTTTTCCAACCGCATTCGTAACTCTCTCTCGCTTTTTAGCTTTTCTTCTAGCTCCTGAAGAAAATGCAGTGCGGCAATGCTATTATATATACTACTACCAAAACTGAAATGACTACTTTCATATCGATTTGTGATCCTGACTTTTTTCAAGTGAAAAGCGAAAGTTTTCGATGTAAAAAAAACAGGCAATTTTTACATTAAAATCATGGAAAAAAATGAAATGCAAACTAACTGTAACAACATTCCCTCCGGAAGAAACAGTGGCTCCGACGTTCGGAGTGTTTAGTGAGCTGAAAACTCGTCGATTGCACACCATAATTAAGTCATTCTAACTAAACCACTTGCCTGTTGTACGCCACCGACGATGGAGCCTCTTCTTTACCTGTTGCCGTCACGGAATAATGAGACTCAGGTTGTTGGAATACCACCATCAATTTGCTGTACATCAGTTCATTTGGAGGAACCGTCTATACAAAATTTTATGAATCTTACGGCTTGTTAGATACTGTTTCAACTGCTTGGCAAGTTCCACAGTGGTATTCGCCTATTGCACTCTTATCGATTCCTCTAAAGTAACATTGAGATAAACAGGAGTACACGCTTTTTGCAGGCCCCATACCATAAACCCTTCCGGCTGAAAAAAACCTTGGAAGAAAAGCTAACACTGATCTCGAGAGCATCACAGTTATGGTTTGCAATGATAGAATTACGTAAATCCCCATCAATCCTCCGACAAGCCAGACAATATACAATTTAACTCATTCGAATTTCAAACAAACCAACTCTATAAATTGGCCCTTTTTCTAACAAACTAATGGTGTTTAAAGTTCAAGCAGTTAATGAGCAGCTAAGAAACAGATAATAAAAGAACATTCTATTTCTAGTTTTATAGCCGCTTTATAGCAATTAGCAGTTCCGCTCAGATTTCAGAGAGGTGGACAGTTCTCCTACGGGGTCAAGCGAGCTTGCGAAGTACTGCTGTGAGAAATATATATATATATATATATATATATATATATATTAGAAAGGAGTTTGTGAGAAGAAGAGATCTGACAACGATAGCATATTGGACCTAAAGAGAAAAAACCTGTATGCTACACGAGCAAATGCTTCTTATTTCATATAAAGAAGAAAATAAGAACTGAGTTAAATTTCTTCGGCTATACCTTCCAAATATTATCAAGGTCCACATCAGCCGAAGGACAGAAGCATGTCTGCACCATAAATTTGTGACGACCCACATCGCTGGGAACGCCATCCAACGGTTGCAGCATGACCGTGATATTTTTCGAAGCGTTAGGAGGTAAAATACCTGAGTACGGCATAAATATCAAATGTAGAGGTGATAAACGAGATGAATAAATTAGTGCCACATGATATTTTGAGGCTAGACGAGTAGTTACCCGAATTGGGGCGAACACAGTATTGCTTCGGTGCGGTGGTCTTCACTTTGAAGCATACATGTCGCTCAGATGGGTTTTTCAGCTGCAACTGAGCATTGACGATGTCGGTGAAAGGGCCTGCAATAAGTATTAGGTCGTGAAGAAAGTTCTTGCGTTTTTGCGCCTCAAACTTCAAATGCACATATCTCGGCTTAAACAAAAGTTCATCAGTCGAAATAACAACCATTACTATCGCCACACTTTTGTAAACGAAAAGCAAGTTTGTTTATCTTATTCGCATAGAAGTCCGGAGATCTAAAGGCGATGAAATCGTCGAATGCCGCGGCAGCATCATGTTGGGTTTTGGAGCATTTCTCCTTAAAAAAGCCGTCGAGATGTTTAAAGAAATGGTAGTCTAAGGGAGCAAGGTCTGGGGAATGTGGTGGATGGGGGAGAGTTTCATAGCCTAGCTCCATCAGTTTTCTCAGGGTAAGTTGTGCGACGTGGGCCCGTGCGCTGTCGTGGAGTAGAATTGGCCTCTTCCTATTCACCAGTGCCGGGCTCATGAGCTGGAATTTTCGATACATTTCGTCAATTTCTTGACAGTACTTTTCGGCTGTAACGGTTTCATCCGGATCCAAGAAGCTGTGGGGGATCAGCCCGGCTGCAGACCACTAAACATCACCATAACCTTCTTTCCATGCTGCTTCGGCTTGGAAAAATGTCGTGGGGCTTGATGCTTGTTCAGATACTGGCTTGATCGTCGCCGGTTGTCGTACAGAATCCATTTCTCATCGCACGTCACAATACGGTCTAAAAATGGATCGTTCCTGTTGCGCAGAAGCAAGGTGGAGGCGAGCTCGAAGTGGCGGTCTTTCTGGTGCTGAGTCAACTCATGCGGCACCCACTTATCAAGCTTCTTCGGCTTCCCGATCTCCTACATGTGGGTGCCAACCGTCTTGCTGGAAACATTCAATCCTGAGCCAATATCCTACAGCGTTGTATGTGGATTTTCTTCCACTAACGTTCTCAATTGTTCGTTGTCAATGGCGGAAGACCGCCCACCACGCTCATCATCTTCCAGGCTCTCATTACGGATACGGAATTTTTCTAAACATCACTGTGCTCTACGTCGATTCGTCGTACCTACACCAAGGGCATCGTTGATATCCCGGGCCGTTTCAGTCGCACTCCTGCCTAATTTGAATTGGAAAAGATAAATCGTGCAAAACTGTCGCTTGTCCATGCTGATTTCGACCTTCTACAAAACACCACGAATCACTCCAGGACAAAACCAATTATATGTTTGAATAGAGCAAAAAATGCGCTTCAAAACGGTATAAAGCTTGCAGACAATCTTGTAGCAAATAACACCGCGGCGAGCATTTGAAAAATGGGCGTCAAAAAACGCAAGAACTTTCTTCACGACCTAATATTAAAGCAGAAAACCGAGCATAGCAAATTATTCACTCCGAAAGACAAACTAGAGTGGCCTCATTCGACTTGATTAAAGATTACTGGATAATATTCACGCTTTCCGTTTGAATTCCACAAACGTGAGTATCTCATTGGCTGCTTTCAGACTTCAAAGACTTAACCTACGAGTGCGCGTCCGACCGACAACGCCGCTGGCTGCTTATTGACAATACTGGCTTGTGATCCATCGGCGTTCAGGGGTGTGGGAAAGTGGTTACGACCGAGATAAAATTAGGTACGATAGAGATCGCTTTGCGTCTAGGTGCAAAGTGACTTAAATCATCCTTAGACTTATCTTATTTTACGCCTCTCCTCAACCGCGCATTACCCCATTTTAGTTATGAGAGTGATGAATATGATGAGAAGGTGTAACTTTAAGAAAATTAGGTTTTTCACCGGTAAAGTTTTCATAGTCTTTGGTTTGAAGAGTTTTATTACCACGCGAGATAAAAGAAATTTCAACGAAGAAAAACCGTGATATGTAACGAAGCCAAATTTTCCTAATATAATGTTTCTTTAAATTAATAATTAAACAGCCCAGATCGTAAAGAATTCGATCATCTTTACCCTAAACAGCTCACTTTGGATGCGATTTGCTTCTCGCTGATGAAATTCGTCGAATCTGAGAAATGAAGATGAGTTAATGGTTGTGTGTCAGCTGCATTTGAGGTGGTTGCGTAGGCACAGGAGTGGCATAGTATTAGGTTCATCGAAAAATCTTGATAGGTTTTTTAAAAAGGGGGATTTTCGATTTTCACGTATATCTATCATGTGATAGTTGTGGAGCATTTTGAAAGATTTTCCGCAAGAGTTTTATAAGGGCGCGTGCTCCTACCTGAGTTTGAACACGATGTCCACAAGACTATCTTCGAACTCTTCTATGAGTGGCGTCGCGGCACTGGAGCGACAGCAACAGTCCACAATATCAGCAGCGCATTGGGGGAGAACACCAATTCCTTCGCTCGCTTTAAGGGGCTCTGAAGACTGGCCTCGAACTGGACGCCCCTTCCCCGTCAATAACACCGAAGATTCACGACACCGTCAAAGAGGATCCGGAAGTTAACATCTTGCAACGAGACTTGGGTGTGCCCAATCAACAGTGGTCCGTCGCCTTCATGTCCTCGGTTACAGAAAAGTGCTGACTCGATGGCTACCTAATGCCTTGACCGACAGTATGCGGTACCCCNCTATCCAGTTGTCACTCTCTCCTTCTTCGCCCACATCACAAGGAATTTCTGGAGGACCTAGTTATTGTTATAAAAGCTGGATACTTTAGCTGGACGACGCTAGCAAGCATCGCACCGTCTGGCTCTCGAGAGAACGGCAGAAGATGCAAACCGAATCCGGCCTCCACCCCAAGAAGTTTCTCCTTTACTGCTTCTGCGATCCAAAAGAAATGCTGTACTGCGAACTGCTCAAGCATGGAAAACGGCCTAAACGAACTTTGATGCATCTCCTCCATGACAACGCTAGGCCTTACAGTGGTCAAGAGACCTGTGCAATTGAAGGAGCTAGGATGAGACAGTACGGTACCACAACCATCATATTCACCTGATATTGCCCCCTCAGATTACCACTTGTTCAGGCCCTTCAGACCTCGAGGCTAGTAAAAAAACAGCTTTCCAATTATGACCACCTCGAACGGGTGGCAGGTGACTCCTTTGGTTCCCAATCTTCCCAGTTCTGGGAAGACGGAATCGCTGACCTGCCCCTTAGGTGGGACAATGTTATAACTAACGGTGGTTACTATATTGTTGATTAGCTTGCATTGTTTGCTGGTTTGTAAAACAACAGAAAAAAACCTCAACTCTATCAAGACTTTTCGATCAACCTAACAGAAGGATTGCAGTGCGGATTGGAGCTGCGCTGAAGCTGAGGTACACCCCGTAAATTCTCGGAAGAGGTAGAATGTGTCCTCAGAGTACATACTAAGGTTCTAAGAAGGCTTCTTTTATATAGTCAATAGTTGCATATAAATCACTTACCCACCAGGCTGAGCTGATGATTTCTCTTCAATGTGCTGAATTTAGCCTGAAGTATAGTAATGTTCCGTGAAAAGTGTGAAGTGCCCTAACTGATCAGCCGAAGGACATTCAATAACCTTTCAAAGACGAGATGCCCCAATACCAAACAACTACGTCGCTTTTGTTTATGTTGTCTGGTATTCCAGATCAGTGAAAATTAAAAAAAAACCAAAAGAATATTTTTTTACATCTTACACGACTTTCATTTTTGAGTCTTCTGAACTTTTCTATTCTATATTGTAATAAAACTCTTGAAACTGCAGATTTTGAGAATTTTCCTGTCCACAGAACTGATTTTCCATTGAAATTTCATTTTCTTACTGCCATCACTCTCAAACTTAGATGAGGTTATGAACGATTGAACGCGTAATAGATAAGTTCAGGTACTATTGAGGTCATTTCGCATCTAGACGCAAAGTGATCTCAATCGTACCTAAATTTCTCTCAGTCGTACCCAAGTTCACACATCCGGTGTTCAGTGTTGTGAACACATTGCCAGAAACACCGTCGGTCGGGCGCCCTCGCTCGTCGGTTGCCTTGTTGACGTCTGAAAGCAGCCATTTCTTTCGGTTTCTGGTGTCTAAAAAATGAAGACAAAAAATGAGGATGTGGTCGATGTTATAATGAGCCCTCCGTTAATCAATCAGTGTATGAGCATGAATTTTCAATATCGAACGGCATTGATACAGATGGCCTGGCAAAATACCCCTATTTCGGGTTCGATATGGTGTCTTATCTAAGCTGGGCGTAAAGTGGGTTGCGGGTGTAGAGGAGTGTATAGGCGATAGTTGATGTTGAAGTTGAAAGTAATCGGCTCAGCCATTCCGCTCCTCCAATATGTCCTTTCGTTGTAAATTTACTTGGGAAGGAGGAAGCACCACTTTTATCCAAGACTGCGCTAGAGTTCAGAGGAGGGGTAGATAACTACCTAATGCCCACAGACATCTTAGCCAAAGAATATAGTTCTTTCCTAATCCTCACATGGCAAGGGGCATCGGAGCGGGTGAGATGATTAACTCAAACGAAAAGCTAGGGTGAAATTGTACGTTAAATAGATTCGTTCATCAAGGTGGTCCTTCCCTATCTAATGCTTAGTTTAATACATTACACTCTCTTGGCTGAGAAACTTACTAAGCACCATTATGGCTTTGCCGAGTCGGCTATACCTTCTGTGTTCTAGTGGTCAATTTGGAAAATCCAGTGCCTCCCCCACCTTCCCAACTAGATTTTCATGGCCTTTGCTGAAGTATCTGATGTAAACAAAGAGGAAAGCCTTCTACCTCGATGCTTATTGCTCTCGTCAAGATCTGCTTAGCTTGTAAGACCAACATAGCGACGCTCCGTTAAAGACACTGACACATGCCGTCCGTCCCCGTGTATGCCCGTCTGCCATAATGACATTCACAATACTAGGCACTTGTTGAAAAATGCATTTGTGTGAGGGTTTCTCCAGGCAGGTTTCAATAAATGTAAAGCCGACCACCACTTACCTCTGTGAATGAAGTAAAGTGAATTTGATATTGATAAGAAACAAAGCTCATAAACATCTGTTACTGATACTAAAGCAGAAATAACGACGGAAAGGTGATTTTTCGAGTCGGACTTGGCTGTCAGAAATTTATAAGTGATAGTTTTGGAATACGCGTTGCCTGTAAGGCGGTACATCGCAAAAGTAACATTCTAGATTGGAGTATCAAACGTCAACTGCTGATGATTTCCTTTAAAATGAAAGTAGTACAGAAATCTTGTAGAAATCGTACCACAAAAACGTTTTCCAATCGAAAACCAAAGTGTGCAGACAGTTTCGAAAAGAATGACAAATGTCAGGAGAACTCAAAAAAAAGGACAAAACTACCTTTGAAGACAAGTTCTTTCGCCGGCGTCAACTGTAGCACTTGAACAGGCTTATATTCTGACATGGGTGACTTGAAGCTACAACGAGTTCATCAATAGCGTTCAAACATGACGTAAAACGTGAACGAAATGCGATGT